TGAGAGAGATCACGAAATCATAGTCGAAATTTGAGACCATACTCTTCTTGAATACAATTTAGACGCGCTGAGCTAACCTCGTCGGTAATAATTTAAATTAGCGGCGAAAATCGTTCGGTTATTATTTGTTTGCGTGTTTAAAATTCGAGAAAAAATATTCCATAATGAAACACGGCCCCTGTAGTCTGAAATTCGTCTAAATAATTGGGCTTCGAAGGTTTAATATAGGGTCCTCAGATAATGTCTGCATATACCTTCTGTACTAATCATTATTTAAAATATGCATATTTATTTTATTAATTTTTTTACGTGAAGTAACATGGCAGCCGTGCGAAAACTTATCAACCGGATACACCACAATTGTGGTGAACGTTGTTCCTTATGAGGCAAGCCTGTATTCGATATACACGTTTCGGTCGTTGGCACTGCTTCCTTCTTCAGATTACAGATTTATTATTGACTTTATTGTCGAGATTAATAATAGTAGAACTCGTGGCCTCTTTATATTCCTTGCTACCGCTACTGGTAATGTCTGACATAAATGCATGTCAGAATAATGGCAACCAGGCAGTGGGAGTGCAGTCTTCTCGCGGAACGTTGTTTACATTAGATATACACCAGACAGCAGCGTAATGAAACAACTATTTCACAAATCTCTAGAAAATCGCTAATACCTAGCAGTGATGTCAGAACTCTCCAAAGTGATTTACTACGCATTTGCAGCGAGATGTGATTCGAAATCCACTGCAGTGGCGCATCAACCGACGTGCGAGGAAGCCCCCACTCCACCCTAACCCACCCTCAACTTCATTATCGTCAGATCTGATTTGAAAGAGTTTTACCGAGCTTTGTGGAAATGCGGTGGGATTTGAAATCATTTTATGTCTGCATCTGTGTGAATTTTAGTGCTGTATAGGAAGAAATTCTGCGAGAGTCAGCAAATAGAATTCTCGATCAGCCATTGTACGTCTGGGCTGATGCATTGTCTTCTGTTCAGATCGTAAAATTGTGGAGTTGTGCAAAACGCAAACATCATAGTCGATATCGGCTGCGTCTTTGTAGATAATTATTTGTTTGGAAATTGCCTCGAAGTTACTTTCAGCATTTTGATGGTACGTTTAAGAGGCAAATTTTTAATCTGACTGCGTCCTATTGGACACACGAAGATGTTTGTACCTAGGTATTAAATAAAAAGATATCCAGTTACAAGAACACAAGATAAGTCATCGATTTTATTTTAAATTTAGAGTCACCAGAGACGAAAAATCATTTCAATTTTGACGGGATTAAATAAGCAGTGATGCCAAATGAAGAAATCACACTTATAATGAATACACAACCAAATTTCTCAACATCTGATCATTATTTCGTCCATTGTTCTTTGTTTATTCGTATGTGGTAAGACTGGTAGACCACCGTAACAGGTTTTGTAGTGCATTTTTCTTGGCAACCGTTTTTAATGTATATAGCGGTCGATATGCGGCGCCACTGCGGCAATTAATAAAATGTCGTTCAATGGGAATGTAAATAATTTCCTGTAAACTTCATCAGGAAGCTATTTCGCGTATGAATAATTCGTTAAAGGGAACATGAACACTATTTTCGGTATTACAATGTAAGAGCTTTTTCAACGGATGGCAGTTGTGCGTGCAATAATATATAAATAGTAGCCCTGCGTTTAAGTGAACCTTTTCCGGATCATCGCATGTGTTCATTTACTTTGAACCTAACAGATGTGGTTCTGTGCCAGTCAATATCTGATTGACAACTTGTCTGAGAAATTGATACGCTGTTGAATGATAATGGCCTTTGAATGGAATATGTTTTATTTTCATTCCGTGGATTCTTTACAGTACTACTATAAGCCAAGGGTGTAGGACGTCTTATTACGAATAATATATTTTATAAATAGAATAATTAACCAATGCAAATATAAATATATAAATATTTGTAACATTAAAGAGTCTTTAATTAAACTAAATTATTCTACGAAGTTGGAGTGACAGGATAGATCTTTCGATTCTGTGTGCAATCCACGTGTTTTCAGTGACATCCTTTTCTGCCATCTCTATATAAAGAGGAAACTCATAGTCTGATCAAAGACCTGTGTTACAGACTAATATGTGATAGCGATGGCAAAGCTTCGTGCGCAGTTCACAAACACAGTGCAGGTCAAGTTAAGGGATTTTTTATTTTTACTTATTTATAATGAAATATGTGTATGTTACGCAGGTGTCTGAAGTTGCGATTTGTATGCCAATGCTCGTTTGGTCATTGCTTGGGTGGAATAGATTTGCCTCCAGATATCCTTCCTCTTTGGTATTCACTACGCTAGGCGTTGTGTGGCATCTTTCAGAAATCGAAAATGGCGTTTTAATGTACTGGACAAGCGGACAGTTGTCGAGACCGGGTTATGTGTGTAATAAAAGGAATAATTATCTGGTTCGTTGTGGTAATTCATCGTGACCTTGTGTGACCAAGTTGCCGGTTGTTGAGTGTTGATAGTAAGTGATGGATTCGAGTGCAATTAAGGTTAGACAAGAATTTAGTGTACAAACAGATAATTTACACAAGTCTGATCGCTCTGTATCAAAAGTAAATCCGAAGTATTACAAGCAATCATATAGAATTGAGTGGGAATCAATGCCCGATTTTAAGGGTATGTAACGGTCCGCTGCATTCAGGAATTAATATATTTTTTTCCTATAAGTGATTGATCAGATAGTCAGTTGATCACAATGCGTGATATACATTACAAATGTTTTTCAGAAAGAAACTTATGACGTCCAATTTGACATTTATTATGTCTACTGGTATTTGGGAAGTAGTTGTTGTGAATGCAAGAGGTTATACTTGCTTCAAAATTGAGGGTTGTTAAACATTTCCTGATGTAAACGTTTTGAGATATTTAATTTAATGGCAGTACTGACATATTATCTTCTTAAAAGAGCCACTTTGTATGTGACAAAGTACTATTACAATAGATACAGATGCATCTTTTAGATCCTAGTATGCAGGATGTTGAACAAGTGAAAATACAATACACGTATGTCACATTAATTTACAGAAACATATTCCAAGAACAAAACTACAAAAGACCTCATCACCATGTACATAATCATGTCTTAGGTCTCAAGACCTGTTCCTTTAAAGCTCAAGGTGTTCTTGGTGTTTGGATTTGCACCTAGGTCTTCCCTGTCCCACCCTCAATGAGGGTGATAGTGGAGGGCTAATTTTGGGAGGCGATTCCTGTCCCTTTGTTTCGAGTGATTTGACCAGTTCTGACAAGACATGACATGACATGACATGACATGTCTTCTAATACATTATTCACTTTTAATCTGTTACGGATTTCAGAGTTTCTCTGACGGTCCAGTATTGTAATGCGTAATAATTATCTTAATAATTCTCATTTGGGCTGCTTCCAGTCTTTGGGCATCTCACTCATTTGTAGTCAAGGTTTAGAAGTGTAATCAGAATATATTGTCTGTTACCATATATGTTCCAAAATGTCATTTAATTTTTGTATTCATTTTGTTGTATCTTTGTAATTTTATATTTGTCTTGTTCCACATTTGAGATTAGATTTCTGAGATAATTATAATTATGAACTTGTTCTATAATTTTGCCTTCAATTTCTCTCTTAACCCTTTGTTTGTTTTAACCCCATAGTCCTATTGTTATTGTTTTTGAAGTAGATATTTTCATATCATACTCTTAACAGTTTTGTTTAATTCATTGGCTGCTATTTGTAGTTCATCTTCAGATTTTGCTATTATAAATTGATCATCAGCATACAATATTGTTTGAAGTGTTTTGCCGGGGAAGAACTTTATAAATGAGGTGAGTTTTCATAGCATTTGTGCACATCATCCATCACTGAACATAGATGGTGGTCTCCTTGGTTATTGTGTGTAATATTTTTTTCATCTACATTGAAAAAAACTTGTGTCAGTATTTTGCTAAGGGTTGGCATTCAAATTATAGCGTGTTCCACGTCCTTGGCTTGTACTATGAAGGATCTATGAATGGAATGTGAATAAATTTTGTTCTTTGTATTTTATTCAATTCCTCATTATGAAGACCTTAACTCCTATATCACCACTTCGTCATGTTTTATTTATACTCACTAGATTTATGAATATTTTAAAATGAATTAAGCTGAACTGAATAAAGCTAACCAAACCTGTCTCTAAATTTACATTTGTTTCTTGCACTTAAAATTATGTGCACATGTAAATAAGAAAAACTATTAGATTCTGTTCTGCCACAACTATGTAATGTCAGCAAATTGTTTCCAGTATAAAAGGCACAATGAATTAATCACTCTGTAGAACATGTTTGCAGAATTTCTTAGTTCAGTGTCTTGGAAGCTGCATCTGCTTCTAGAATTTTTACCATCGCATGTGGGTTGGTCTTGGAAGGTTGAAAGTGTGCATATTCTGTTTTCAGGCTGGTTGAAGGGAGTTCCAGGGGAACCAAACAGAGCATACTGTTTGTTTTGTAAGAAGAGTCTTCACGCTCATAGACTGAGTCTTCTCAAACATACTTGCACTCTTAAACATACAAAAGCTGCTCAAAAGAATTTTGAATTACAGGTAGTTTATTCTGTTATTTTTTTATCTTTGTGGCATAGGAAGGGGTCTGGATATAGTTTGAAGATTGGAATGATAATTAACTGGTTTCAGTAATGAAATGTCCTACACAATTCTCAACCTTTTCCAGAGGAAATGGCTGAGTTTACCCTTGCTTAGTGGTTTTTGGCCACAATGAGGGCATTATATTGAAATGTCTTGTCAGTTTTTAAAAATGATTCACATATTAGTCAGTAGTTTTCCATAAGAATATCAGTCATTAATGATTGATACGTGACACACCTTTTGCTTCAGTAATCTTTCAGTACCAAGTTTAATTTCTGTTATGATTCAAATCCATCCCTCAAAATGTTATCAGTAAAATGTGTTCTTCATTGAGCTGAACAGTGAGGGGCATGGCCAGATACTAATGACAGGAAAAGTGAGTTGATGTTCGTCTGGATTGTGACACCATGTGGGCTTCAGCCATGTTGATGGAGACAACATGTTCCTGTGAGACAATGGTGTCTACCTACAAGTCCCCATGGCATCACAATTCACATGACTACCATTGACACATTTCCATGAGAATCTCGCATCCCATATTCAACAAAGTGTGTATTTTGATATAAAGTAACTATTTTTCATCTTAAAGAGTGATGGATGCAGTGTCACAAAAATGTGCATTGGCTGCTCAGAAACACATTGGTAGGTCGTGGATTTAGAACCCCTGATCCAACAGAACTGAACGTGTGCCAGTGTAATGTGCTGGCAGATTTTCAGTAGGCATTTAATGGGTCTGAAGTGCAGTATGTTATGGTACTATGCAAAGTGTAAAAACATGTCTTAATGTTAATTTTCTAGGGTGAGACAGAATACAATATAAAAGTAAATATGGAGGGAATAGGAACCTCAGAGGAAATCCTGACACAGCCTCGTGTGACAGAGGTTGAAATTGTTGAAGATATTGTAATAGCAGATGCTAAGGTTGCTGGCAATGATACAGCAAGAGAGAATGACAGCGAATTTTCTCAGACTGCTGAGGAATCTGGTGAAGCCCCCATCACACCCAAGAAGAGAATGGTAAGGTATAAATTTAATTTCTTACTTCAGCTGTGGGCAGTTAGAAATTGGTGGTCCAGATAGTTATTTTATCTGGTCCCCCCCCCCCAGTAATCAAATTTTATTTTGGGCAGTGTTGTCCATTTGGACTATTTATTTACCTCATCTTGATTCATGATGCTTAGATAATCTACCATGCTTGTTGAGTCATTATTGATGAAAGTATTCTTTAAGTGTAACAAGTACAGAGTTTTGTAACACAAAAAGAACCCTCTTAGGACTTACTGAAAATGTAAGTTAAAAATTACATGGTAAAACATTATGTCTTCAGTGTAATCATCGTCATTTATCATTGAGCTATGTATTCTGGTATTTAAGTAAATATTTACTTACTGGCTCATTTTAAACAGCTGTCAGAAGTGGATTAAACTGGAATGTATAGAGTTAGTTTTGTTTTTATGTTAGATGTAAGTAATTTAATCTTTTCAACCTTTTGACCAAGAGATAAAGCAGCTTATATTTTTCCTTTTCTTAATCTTGTTGTTGCTTTTGGGAAGGATAACCTTCGTATTTGTTTAGATTCAAGACTTGGATCACAGTTCAGCAGAGAACGAGTTCTGACTTTTGTCAAGAATCTGTGATCCACAGCCATTTAAGATGTGCAAATTGTGGTATTGCAGCAAGTGTTACTTTGTGCCAAGAAGCTGTAAACTAAATGTAATTCAGAGTATTGTAACTAAATTTGTTTTCTAATCTTGACAGCCCACTTAGATATATGAAGCTTATTAGGTCGATACCACCTTTGAGTGCAGTGTAGAAATCCTGTGTGAACTCATAAATGTATGAATTTACACTCCTTCAGCAGACTAGAGCTGATATGGCTGCCTTACAAGGTCCTCTTTCAACGCACGTACTTGACACAGCAAGAGGCAATCCAGTAGGTGGTCTTCAAGTCAGCTTGTACAAATTGATTGATGGACGGTGGACACCCATCAGTGAAGGGTAATGGTTGAAAGGAGAAGACATTTTCATTAACCCATATTTATAGTTAAAGTTAAAAAAAGTCACTATTTCTCTCTTCAGAATTACATCTTGAGTTAAATTTACTGGCAAATGATTCAGCACAAAGCATTCTGTCATCATCTACAGGTGGGTGGGAAGTAAGTGGGCATTAAATAATCGCACAGGAAGTATGTATTAACTGCAGTTGTCACTTTTCTACTAGCCTGGGCATTTTTTGATCACATGTCATATATTTGTTAAATGATAACATATAGATGTTAATTCCTTTCTTGTATCGTGCATTCAGATTGACGAATCCTGATGGTCGCTTCACCAACTTCATTAAAAAAGCAGATTTCACTGCCGGCCGCTACAAGCTTCACTTTGACGTGGATCGCTACTTTGAGCTGAGGAAGCTAGAGTCCCTCTATCCCTTCATTGAGGTATTTATTACATGAGATGAGTAGTTTTCTGATAATCCAACTCTTCAGATTGAATGGAAATTATCTTGTATAAAATATTTAAATTGAAATTTCACATTATTAATTCCAACCATTGTCAAACTTTGAAACAAACACTTCTTCTGGAATCTTTCCTATTTTACTCGTCTTTTTTTTAGTTCCTTCTGTTTAAAAAAATGCCTCATACCTCAGTGTTCCTTCTTTTTTTCAGCCATACAGTTCCTGTTTTCTCATTTAAATGTACTTTGATTTTGTCTTATTAAACTGCGTGTATTGTGTATTTTCTAAATCTCACTAGCCATTTAAATTTACTGCATTATTTCAGATTGTGTTTGATGTAAAATCGCCCCAAGACCACTATCACGTGCCTCTGCTGCTGAGTCCATTTGGTTACACTACGTACAGAGGCAGTTAAGTTACGCTCATTCGTGATGTACACGCAACATGGAAATGGAACACTTTCTTAAATTATACCATTTCTTTGTTCTGGGTCCATTTTAATTTATGTTGTCCAGTCAGTACTATTAAATATGTTAGATTGAGTAATTTATACTTTTATGAGGTGGTGAAGACATTTACTGGTTTGTTTTATATAATCAAGGGAAATGAAATATAATGAAATCAAAACTGTAAATTGCAGTTTTCCTTGATTTGGTGTTTTAAAGATGTAAAAATGAAAATTGTTTGTGAGAGTGGCAGTGATACCAGCCCTCTTCACCAGAATTGTGCGTATGCAAGTTTTAATAATTGTTTTTTATCGTACATTCATATCCTCAACATGTCTGCAGTAAATACAAACATGTTCAGTGCTCTGTATAATTATTTTTGTGCCCCAGTCAATTTCCAGTCCTTTATAATCACTACAGCCCCTTTTCTTAGGGACTGTATTGGTTTAGGTGATATTTCAAGTTCTCGCCGTGGTATGAAGATGACCATCTTCTAGGATGTGCCATGTCATCTGATTGGTGTTTACTGACGCTATGAGCCCATCTGGAAAAATTCTATGCAGCAGGAGTACATGCGGGACAAATATGTACATGTGGAATGAGTATACTTAAGAAGACTGCCAAATAAGAGTTGATGTACAACCATTAATTGAGATGTTGTGATCGAAACCCCAAGTTAGACTTGAAGCACTTGAGCAACATTTTTTTTTTGGTCTTGCAGATATTTATTTAACAAATAAAAATATAAAAGTTAATACAACAACTCTGCACATTAGTCAGTTTTGTATTTTACTAAGTATTGCATTATGTCTACTACTAACTATAAACTTCTGTTAATTATAGTTCCTAGGAAGTTTTGTTACACACTTATAAAACTTCTATTCTGTGTATTAATCTCTAGTAGATGTAATTGTACTAAAAGCTATAAACATTTAAAAAAACTTTAATGACAGGATAAATAAGTGGCAAGTAAAGCTTGAAATACAGTATTTAAACTTCAAGCATTTGTATGAAAGGACAGTTGTACAGCACTAGACAATGGCGAACTCAAGTATTTATTTATGATAGAATTTTCACCAAAAAAAAAAAAAAATGCTTGAAAGGCTTTGGTCCATGACTGGAATTTAATTGGACCAAAGCGAAGAGTAATTTGAAAATTCCTCATTAAATAGAGAAGTCTCAACTTTGTTTTGAAATGAAGAGACAGAGTTCAAGAAAACAAACGTTTAAGTATCGCTATTATTGTCTATAAGTAGGTACCTATTAATTTAACAAAATAATTGGTGTTTATATTATTACATATTTAGTCTACTCATATATAATATACAAAGCATTAGCCTGTTTTCTCCAGAAAGAACAATACATATTACAGACTCTTGGCAGCCGGCCAAATGACATGAACAAATTGAGCGGAAGACAGAAAGGTGGAGAGGATCCTTCGTTAGAGCCACAAAGTGGAAATGTTGCAGGAAGAAGTTAATATTATAAGGGCATACCCAGTGTCTACCATAACATTCTGATTAGGCAGAGCAGCTAACCGTGCATTATACTTTCTTTTCAATGCCTCGGTGTAAGTATTACCAATTTTCTGAAGTACAAAATCTAGCGGTGTCACTTTTCTGTAAAGAATATATTTCTAGATGCAGTAACCCTTTTAATGAATAAGGAATTGAATGGGGACAACCTTTTCGAAGGGAAATTAAGAATCAAATGCACGATTTGGTTGGAACACCATGGGCTTCTGAACTCCTGCCCCAAGTTGCTGTAGTGAATTCACATAATGTAATTGAGGTGTCGAACGATAGTGGGACAGAGAAGCTCTCGTACTGCGACGTACTGGAGTGACGATGAAATATGGTGACAGTGCTTCCACTCCCAGATTGGTCCTGTAACAGATGAAAGTACAAGCAAAACTGGGTTAGTGGAGGGAGGAAAAAGGGCTCAGAAAACCAGAGTCTGGTGGTAATTTACTTAGTGTCTTTTCCAATGAATGAATATCTTAATGTCGCATGATACACAAGGAATTTTATAGGAGAGACTGATGATGGTCTGGTAAAACTGAAATGCATCTGTAATAAATTATGAATTATATAGTAATAAATAATATCGTTAATAAGAACAGATGATGGTAAGAATTATACAATTATAAGCTCTGTGCTACAACTGGACATAAAATTTAAAAAGTTCTAACTTATTAATATAAAAGATACACACCTTTTCAGAGCTTTCTGTAGCTGTGCAAACTTTATTATAGTCGATTTAAAAATGTTGCGGACATCGACTTCATGCTTACGTGGTGTTTTGACACTGCTGCTCTTGTCTTGTCCCACATCACAGTTAAGATTTAAAATGTTGAATTTCTCCATCAACTGATCAAGCGATTCGCCAACCTTAGTAAGCTATAAAAATATAATGGACATTGCAGTAAGTAGTGCATTTAAATTAAACAATAAAATTTCGCTTTGAGGTAGGGATTTGAGATTACAGAATTTTCAGCTGGTGATATGTCAATAGTTGCATACTGCTGTTAGCCCTGGAGCTGAAAGTCCATCTGTCAGCTGCGTAGTATGGACGGTCTGAATTCCCCATGCCAATACAATGAAGATTAATAAAAATGAGTGAATGATTAAGAAGCCAATCCAGTATTTGCAACTGAATCATACATTTTCCTAAAACATGATTGTTAAAAGTAATTTGGACAAGGTATACATGGTGTTTCATAAAAAATAAATTTTGGAAGTAAATCCTTAATTGTTATGTTACAAATTCATTATTCAAACATACTGAAGCTCCATGTATTATTGCTTTCTCGTAACAGTCGACAGCAGATCTGAAGTCTCCTTGCACTTCTTGCAAAGCAGCCACACACTCCCAGTAAATGGGCACTTCCTTTACGCCAGGATAGAATTTGCGAATCATGGTCAGCCATTCTTCACACCGATCCCATGGATAACCCTATAAAGTTATTATTCACGGTAAGCATCAATTATTTTTGATCAAATAAAACTATAATCTTTATAAAATTGCTAAACATTTGTACTGTCTCCTTATAATATTTAATTGCTTACATTCATGTTTGTATGAAACAGTTTTCAATAATATAAAAGCTGTGCTTATTATAAATGACAATTTTAAGATGTTATCAAAAAATTAAGAACCTAATTTCCTTTTTAAATTTATTGAGATACTGACACAAGTTTCAGTTTTAAAATTAATTTATTTATTTATAATTTGGTTCCTGGATTAGGCTAGCTGCTTGCCAACTATTTGCATTTTCTGTGTAATTGATTTTTTGGTACAGTTCTTTTTCCACGATGGCGCACAAACTGAACAACTAGGAGTTCAGAAAAATATTTTAACATTTCTGCTGAACACTGTTTAGCTCAGGCACAATGCGTAACATTTCTCCTTAGGAGACCATCACTTCAAATTTTGGATGGTGAGTACGAGTGAATGCCAAATTACTACCTGCAAATAGACGCTGACATTTTCATTTTGAATCCATCCTCACATCTCAACTTCTCTTATTTCTTCATTACAAAATTAATGCAAACTCTACAATTATGCCGCAGTCAACACTCACAATGCGAACAATATTCAGCAGATCTTTTATCGCATCTTCAACCAGCTGATCTGAATTTCCAACACGCACATTCTCCTTATTATCTTCCATGAGATTTGAACAAGCAGGCCGTTCGTTTCCCGGAGCAGGTGGCTCCGCGTTTGAGATACAGCTCTGTCGCACCATTTTCTCTTTGTTCTCTCCCTTAACTGCACCTGGCTTATAGTGCTGTCTAGAATTTGCACTGTCGTTTGCTATGTGGGATGCTTGAAGACCAAAACAATGCAAGTGACTGAAATTTTCAAATGATTTTCCTCTTTTGTGCAGCCAGTCAGATAAACGTTTCCTGTAATCATAAACGTTTCAGTTTTAAGTAAACATACATCACAGATCTTAACCAATGTGGGAAGTAGGTGAAGTCTTACAATATTTTGTAACAGATTCAGAACTCTAGTGCTGTTTTTTTAATTAATACGTCTTGATCATAAGTGAAAATTAAAATCTAGAAATCCTTCTCTTAAAAAGCACAAAAGGCCACACGATTAGGAAAATTGTAGTCAAGTGCAGGGAATATCACTGTGCTTTTTAAAGTAAATTAAACACTAAAATATTTTTTATGTCAAACACCAAACACAGAAATAGATGAAATATGTGATCAATAAAAAATACAAAGGGTCAAAATGTATACAATGAAAGGTGTTCAATTTCGAATATCCCAGGCTGATGAGAATTTTGGCTGGCAACTAGTCACAAAAATATATATTCATCGACAGATCATTCTGTAACAAAGTTTTCTTCTAATTTTTTTTTATTTGTAGGAAATATCTTGTATTCTACCTCATAACATCTGGCATGGGCCCTAGCATTTTATCTCCTTTTACAGATTTAAAAGATAAGTTACTTCTTGCTCTCTGGGGAGTTTGGTAACTTATTTGAGCTTGTTGCTGTAGTGGAATCGTATCATCCAGTTGTTCTTCATTTTCCTCCTTAATAATGGCATCTTTAATGTCTGTAACACACAGAAATATCACATTTAATGCCAGATAATGAAGCAATATCTGTTTTAGTTTATTAATTTCTAACATTGTGGTAAATGTAGTTTGCCTTACAAATTATTGCTTCTGGCTCAGTATCAAGCACAAAGTATTTTAACAGCTGGGTTCTTCGACATCAAAACAGACAGTAGTAATGCCGCTCAGGCATTTCATTAAAGCTGACAGACAAACTTTCAAACCAATACAAAATAGTTAGCATTATAGTTTTGGTTAGGAGGCAGAATAAAAAAGTATCCAAAATGAATTTTTGCAAGTATGTCTATAATTTAATCTGCTTTTAATTTCCTTCAGAATGGACTATTTTGGTTCATTAATGTCATCCCCAAGTACAGATTTACCTTTAATGTCTACAGCAGACTTAATTCTTCTGATATTCATGTTTTCAGTGGCCTTGTTTGCTTGAAACCTGCTAACTGGAGGACCAGTACTAAGTGACCTTCGAACAAAGACATTTCTTTTCACTGGCTGAGGATTAACTCTCCTGCCTCGCCTTTCATTACTGTTTAAATTGAGAGAACTGGATTGTTTAAATGAAGTCACGTGCTGCAAGCAGGGTGGTACAGCGGATGACAGTGGAACTGTATTCGACTGTGCAGTGTGTCTATTGTTTCCTCCTGCATTCTCAGTCTTCTTCTTTGGCGGTACTGTAATTAATCCTCGTGCTTCAAGTAGTGGATTTGCCTTTATCATCCGTAACTTGCTAGCTAGAGTGTGCTTTATCACAGGTGCAGTATTTGGTCTTGTGTTTGGATCTGTAACAAATATGGATATAATTGATTTTCATTCTGTTTTTAGGTGTTTTTCATGTTCCAGCATGACAGAAGAAAATGCTATGAATCCATCCATGTCTTTGAGTAACATTTTTTGCAATAATGGGACCAGAAATGTAGGATGATGACTAGTGTGTTATGGTTAGATAAACATATGAAATATGTCTCACCAGACCCTAGATCCTGTTTTGGAAATTTGAGTGGGGGATTTATAAGGGCAGATTTTACAGTATCAATAATCATCAGTTTACTTACTTTTGTGTGGCTTGTTTTTTGCTACAGAAGGTGGTAGGTTGTTATCAGTTGATTGTGTAGTTACATTTGAAGATGTTACTGTGCCAAATATGGCTGAAGAAACTTTACCCTGTCTGTTACCTAAAATTCGACCTGCCAAGCGTGTTTGTCGTTCTTCACGCCATTTCATTATTTGATCCCTAAAAGAGGAAACATGTATGTCACTTTCAGACAAAGCTCACCGTTTCTAGTAACAAAACCACAAAAGCAAATCAGTTAAAAAAACAGTTCATCTAAAAGTTTCATAATTAGAATTTATTTACATGACCAAAAACAACGTACAAAGTACCACCCACTATTGAAGAGTTTTATAGTTATACCGCGAAGTTCGGTAACAGTTAATATTTTGGCCACGAATATTCATTGACCATACCTGAGAGATGCTCTGTTGTTTTTCTGTTGAGTATTATCCATCTGAACCAAGTATAAATCGATAAATTTGTATTGTGTATAAATAAAGGCAGCCAGCAAATTCAAACTAGGGCAGTTGAAATTGCAATCTTCAATATTATTGGGTATTTTGTTGAAGACCCATTTTTGACCAATAGAAACATTCGTTACTCGGTTAAACCTAGTTCTGTAATACCGTGTTTAGAAAACCTACCAGATGTCACAGAATACGTACTTGTTGATGTTTTCCGTGGTTAAATCGATGCTAAGAAAAACTCTTATTTCTGTGGGTTGTAGGATGTGTGGTGTTGTGGGTTTGTTGTGAAGGTTAACAATGGGAGCTGTTGGAAAGACGTATATTGTAATTTTGTTTACGTCAGAAATAGTGGATAGATTTTCTCTTGTACATGGTTACACTTAATGAAGAAAACGTGAACGCTGTTATTTGGCCATAAAAGAAATGAGTTCTGCGGTCAAAGACACGAAACTCCCACTTCCTAGTGGATGGGTTGTTTATCCATCAAAGTCTCACCTTGATAAAGTGTACTATTTTAATGTATGTACTGGAGTTTCGTCATGGGAACGGCCTATATCAAAACAGTGTTACAGATCAAATGGTGTAAGTATTCGTTCTGTAAAAAGTCAAAAATACGAAATCGAATCCACTAGATCCATTCAGTGGTTCTTAACTGTGTAGGATTTTTTAGAATTCACTTTGCAGAATAGAAACCAGAGTATTTTATGTAAAGGCTGTTAATCTTGGAACTAAGAGAGTTAGGTTAAAATGACATGTTGAAGCTAGAAATTGTTTGGATTTGACATTGAAATCTGTCATTAAAGAACTTATGTGCTACTTCATGCTTCATGCTTCTCATGTTGTGTACAAATAAGTGATAAATTATATTCTGTGTGTAATGGGTAGATTTATTTGTAACTTATCATTACTTTAGGTGAACCCTTTGTTTGTTTTATGTGAAATTTATTTAATAGTATGAATTGTACTTTATAATATGTATTATTATGACTTTTTCCACATCCTATTGTCATCTGACTATCTTATGGATCCATGGAATGTAATAAAATATGTATGTATGTATATGTCATAATTGTGTGAAATTTGGGAGTCCCAGCCTTAGACTGCATAAAATTTGTGTTTAGTTCATGAGGTGTTATTACATTCTTTTTGTTGGAAAAATTAGTAGTAATCTTAGTTGTTTATTTTTTACAGGAAAAATACAGTGAAAAATCATCAGATTTGGTAGCAAAATCAAGCAGCAGTAGTTTAGGAAAATCTTTACATGAATGTAAATTGACATCGGCTACAGATAAAAGATTGGAATCAGTCTCAAGCAATTCAGGAATACTACCAAATAAATCACATGTACTTCAAGTCACTGTTGCTAAGGAATGTGACAGTCATAAGAAGAAATATAATAGAACATTAAAAAGCAGAATTAGTGCTAATGACAAGATATGTGTTAATGAAGCAAGTGTAGAGTGTGAATTCCAACATGGCAGACCTGCCCATGATGAAGTATTATCGAGGAAGAGGAAGAAGAAGAAGAAGAAGAAGAAGAAGAGGTGCTCTGGATCAGTCGAGTTGGATAGTGATTCTGACATTGAGAAACCACCTTTGAGGAAAATCAAATTAAATAATAATGTGATTTGTCAGAGTGGTAGTGCAGTAGATAAGCTACACAGTAATAAGTTAAGTAGCCAGTTAGTGTTACCATCAGCTGTAAGAGGAAGTCTCAGTTCAGCTTTATGTGCAAGTAAGTCAAATTTACGAAATGATGATGTACAACAAGCACTGAAAGCCAAAACGCCGAATAAAATCAGTCCAGATCGTGCAGCTGTAAATGCTGAACTTGAAAGTACAGGAAGATGGAAATATGCCCAAGGTTAGTAACATACTCAAGTTCTACAAGGCTGATACAATTTCAGACTCTTCAGATAATGTCTGCTTCTAGTTATCTTAATGTAGGGGTCTCATAGTTTTCCTCAGTATGTTCAGACAGGTGCTGGAATGGCACCATAGTATGAAGTAGTCTTAAATTTCTTATTTTATCATTTTAAATTTTTACGACGAGTCTGAAGATGGTTAATCTTCTGGGTTGTTGCACCGTGTGTGGATAGCTCTGACGATGGTGGCATCAAGGACCTTTGAAACATTGGCAGACTTTATCGGACTACACAGTGCTACAATGCAGAAGGCAGCCATCAACAGATCACTGTACCCGTTTTTTATGGTCTTTTATTAGGAATGATTGAAATTATTGAACATTTTAAGTCGTCGGTAGTTTTACAGACTTTGTTAATGAGAATTTAAATTTGTTTATGATGATTAGAGTTTTATTTTTCTACCTCCTCTCATTTGCTCCTTCCCATAGCCGTATGTGAATTTATGGAAAGTTCGCTCAATTTGAACCAAAGAAACAGTTTGTTTAGTGCTATCAGGGAAATGTTTTAAGTACTCGTGGAGTTCACATTTTTCATTTTCATGTTTAATCAGGGTTGGCTTCCAAACGTTTGAGAGCATTACAAACCAAACTTGCTGATGAACTGGTGAGGAAAGAGAATTCTGAAGGTAATGAACACGGCATGCTCCATATCACTGTGTTACTTCAAAATGTGAATAAAATTGTAGTGTGAGGTATAAGACTGGGGAGTTACATCCCAGCATCTGTAAACTGTGAATGGGTTTGAAGATGGCTGTCTTCCGGGATGTTTCACTGTGTATCTGGTATAAATTTGCTGATGACTCTTACTGACAAATCACCCTTATTATGGAGGCAGTAAGAATCTCTGAAATGTCAGTCAGGTTATACCAGACTACATGGCATAATATCTTAGAAGACAGCCATTTTGTGCATATGGCAGATCTTAATAAATTCCTTCATTCCTATGCGAGTTGATATTAAAGAACCTTTGTGGTATCCTTTTGATGCTGTATAATGTGTTAAAAATTTGTGTAAACCTCGTATTTTCTCAGCAGTAAGACTAGTTATATTGCTACTGACCTTTTTCTATTCACGTTCGTTTTCTAGCTCAGAAAAGCAAAGAACTTCGACAAAAAAGAAAGAAGGTAGAAGAAAGTCTTCGTTTACATTCTTCAGGTTTGTTGAATTTAGATTATTGTATGATTTGAGGTTTTCACAGTGGTATAAAAGTTTGGGAAATTACGAAATTATTTTTGAGTTGTTATATGCATACTGACAAAATGATTTAATGGGTGATCTGCGGATGCACGTTAAATGTTTATCAAATGTGGGGTTGGAACCTCCATTAGTTCTGGTCTCCAAGCACATCCTCGTGCTTGTGAGCTGCATAAAGCTGTAAACTGTTGATTTTACTGCTGTGTGCATGACGGCTGATACTGGCCCAGAGCAAGCAGTAAATTACGAATTTAATGTACACCAGTTATTAATTTTCTTTCAGAGCTTGGTAAATGTAAGACTTCAAAACACTCAGATATACTTCAGAAGAAGTTAAAATTTGAATGTAATTTTGGCCGTAAAGAGGTGGTGAATGTGGAGCGAGATAATCTTCGTTCAAAAAATCTGAATACTCCTGGAGCTTACGGTGGAGGTACGTTATTGCTTAGTGCAAGTGTAGTGCACTTATACAGTGGCTGGAATAGAAGGCTAACGCTCACCCAGAGGAAGCAGTAAATTATGAAGTGAGGGATTTCTGGTCCAAAATTAGACTTTCTGGAAAATCTAAAAGAAAGCTTCTCAGCATCCGAACCATTGAAAACTTCTAGGTACTTTGTTTTGTCCCAGTTCATTTACATGTGTTGCAAGTTAGGAATTTGGTTGCAGTTATGTAGGTAGTTTACTTTTACAGAAATGAAGTGGAATGAACATAAGTTGGTCTTGCTTTAAAAATACAGCATTGCAGGTGGAAAAAAAAATATTTTGCTCTTTTTCTTTTAGACTAATGAGATTTTTGCCAGAACAGATATCTCCCACTTATGAGTGGAGGTTTAAACTATAAGATGGAAAGTTTAAAAAGAACTTATTTTGTGCTAAATGTTATTTTATTTTCCTTCGAAACTCCGCAGTTTAATGAACATCCATTTTTTATTTTTTTCCAGGTTTTGATAAATGTAAGGCAGCAAAACGTCTAGAAATACTTCAGAAGAAGTTAAAATTGGAACAGAAAGTTGGCCATAAACAGCAGGATAGACTTCTTATTAAAAATGAAAGAGTTCCTGAAGCTTGCAGTGCCGGTATGTTTGCTGGCGATGTGTGTAATGAAGTCTGAAAATCACATAGGTTTCGTAATTTACCCATATTCTGGAAAACGTAGCGTCATGATAGTGACTTTCATCATAACAATCTTTATTGGCTGTTGGCCATATATTGGAATCTAGAGCAACGATGAAAGAGTAACTTATGCTGATTCGCAACTGAAAATATAAATTAAAGTGTGAAAGATAAAACAAGTTTGTCTTTGAAGTATGTACTCTAGAAAAGACAGTTATATGTCAGCAGTCGATTGTAAATTGAGAATCAATTTGGAAAAAAAGATACCAAATTCAGTAATGACCGATGTTTTTATTTGACTAGAGAAACCAGTTAATATTTGCTGTTCTTTACTGAGGGGTTAAAAAGGCCTGTCACCTTTTATAGCTTCTAGGGAAGGCCGGAACTTTAGGTGTTTGAGAATCGTTAGGTGCACAGTTTATGTGATTGGTAAAGTATTATTTTGCAAGTTTGTGGATTTCAGGTGTTTGGTCAAAAGAGAGAAGCCCATCATCTGATGCGAGTCTCGTCAGAGATGGTCGGAGATTTTCGGACAAAACGGTGAAACAGAATTTGTCTGAACAGCATCCGTATGTAACAGCAGAAGTGACAAACCAAGAAGACGAACTGATGGAGTGGGAGCCCATAGAAGATGAGAAGATTTTGTCACACGTAAGATTACTGAATGCATCAAAGTTAGCTTTTAGGTTTTGGAGAAGGCTGATATGACTACCAAATTTTTTAATTCTATATCAGGTGAGAAATTATTTGCAAGTGGACTGGAAATATTATTGGATCAGTAGCATTGGAAGTATAAATGGCAGACCGCCGTACGAACATGTTCAGAATCGTTCCATTCTACACAGACCCGTCATTTCAAATATGGCTTTGTGACCAAGCAAATTGTTGTCTCGATTAGTATCGTTGAGTGAATCTCATATTGTGAGGTAAATTATTGTCTGCTTTCAGATCCAAGAAGTCCGCAGTCAGATTCATCAGGGTCGTAACATTGATCAAGATGGCAGAGGGATACAAACACTAGACTATGATATTAATTCTATTTTCTGTGCAGATGGAAAGCCAGAATGGTTCATAGTTATTGATACGAATGTATTGATTTCTAGTTTGAACTATATCGAGGAGCTGCGTGATACAAATTTTAAAGGTAATCAATCAACAGTAAGTTTATTTGTGAGATTTGAGGTTTTCATACCAACAGATATGAAGATGATTGTCTTATGAGATGTGGCATGGAAAATACTGACTGACACCTCACAGGAACTTACTGTCCCCATCATCATGGTAATCATGACTTTGATGTTTGTATTGTTCTACAGAATCTGTTAGAAACTGGTTACAAAAATGAATGATCGATGTCTTATGAACAAATAAAAAGTTTCACATGCAGTAAATTACGTTCTTGAAGGTCGTAAAACCGAAAGTTTGTAAGGGTGGTTTAACACGTTGACTTCCGTGAGGGTCACTGGTGGATCAAATGTGAATTAATTTCAGAACCTCGATAGACGCTTTGTAGTAGCGGAAAAGATTTCCGGTGTTACGGAGAACATGGTACGTCATATTTGGTGTAGAAGTGTTATCAGCTGTGCGTAATGTACAGTTTAGTGATGTGGGTTGCTTATGCTTTCTCTGCAAGGTTTGGGGTTCCCTGTCCTGGTTATTCCATGGCAGGTCCTTCAAGAACTGGACGTAATGAAGGATAAGCGAGGCAACGTCCGAAGTCCATTCCTTACAATGAGAGCAAGAAAGGCAGTTTCATTTCTTCTTTCCAACTTCTCTTCAAAACATCCACGAATTCGAGGTAAATTATCAGTTCTCAGGCTTTGGATTTTGTTTCAGTTTGTTTTTTTATTAATGTTTTAGAAAATGACACGAGTACTTGATTACAGATCGTATCATTTTCATAGACGTTTCAGTGGTCTGTAAAATAATTTTCCTTTAATTCAATGAGACATTTGTGGTATTCCTGCTTTTTGACACATCGAAATAACGCATGTATATGTTATGTATAAAGGTCAGAGTGTAGATACATACGTTACTGTCTGTCTAAACAAACTCGGGGGGTTTCTGTTGCCCTCGAAAACTGAGCGATTTTAAATCTATTGATATTAGACTTCATTTACACAATTTAAGTATTTGTGAAGTGTTTTAGACTAAGTAAATTAAGGGAAATTAAACCTAACGTACCTGAAGTAGTGTCTCGGTGTTAAGCAGAGGAACTGCATAATAACACAGAAATACTAGTCAGATATCTAGCAGTAGGCGCCATAATGAAGTTGTCCCACGTTTGATACGGTGTTTTGATGTCGAAGTAACGTGTTGGGTTCTTTTAGGTCAAACAGCATTAGACGCAGTTCCTAAAGATTTCAAAATAGAAGTACCAGATGACTCTATCCTTCAGTGTTGCCTTCAGATAGCTCGGAGGACAAACCAAGTGGTAAGTGCTTCTGATTAATTTATGGGAGTGTTTTACTTGTTGAAGATTTTAGCGTAGAATTGGAAACATAATTGAATGATTATAAGTTGTGAGTCAAATTGTATGAGAAGGGGTTGAATATGGCCTTGAATTTGCTTGGTGACGCTGAGAACGCCACCGATCCGTAACTACCAGTCAGAACCGTGAATGAAATTGTTTTTTTCAGAGCAGGTGTGCCTGGTACAGTACAACATTTCACGAGTCTTCATTGTGGGTAAAGTGTGATGAATAAAGTACAAGGAACAAATAAAGACTAGGCAAGGGTAGGAATTTAAATTCGGCGAGAATTACTGTAATCACATTTACGTATTTTTTATGAATCACTTACAAAAAGTTTGAGGGTCTCGATATTATTAATGACAGGAAATTAAAAAGTTTAATGGAGTGACCTCTAGTGGCTTGATGTGTATACCGAATTTTGTGAAAATCAATTAGTTGGTTCAAAAGTTAGTAGGAGGTGGCAGACACAGTTTTACGCGCGGACATGATGATGACGTAAGTGAGGAAAGGCAGACAGAGATTCAGAAGATCACAATAAGTTAAAGTGTGTTAATGTTTTAATCTGATCTTTTTCTCTTTTCTTTTTTTTACAGATCCTATTATCAAATGACAAAAACCTTTGTAATAAAGCTATTGTAAATGGAATAAAATCGTACCAAAAGGCAGAAATGCAACAGACACTTGAAGAATTGAGCTCAGAATCAGAGGACCAAATTCAGATCCAATCTCTGTCAGGAAATGGTAAAATTATACTTTGAGTTTATATTTGAAACCGTGTAATAAGATTAAAATCTTTGTGTGACTACAATTTGGATGATAGGGGTTCAGTTCCTAGCAGGGCCAAAAGAATATTTTCTTGGCCTCTGCTTTCAGACCAGCTCTAGGGCCCACTGAGCCTCCCCAAGGGGTAAAGTGGTTGGGCTGTGTCGCTGACCATTCACGTCCATCTAGTGTGAAACTTTTCCTCCATCTGTGTTTATGCCAGGGTGCTTAATAAGTTCCAGGGGCAACTTTACCTCAAATTAATAATGCCTTTGTAATTTCATGATTGCAGTTAGCAGATGAGTTCGTAGGCACTGACTGGGTTTTGGTTCAGGACATCCCAAGTAACATTTATTTGACGCTAACTTTTTTAACATTAGTATTATATTTGTGGCGGTAGTCAACGTTGTGTTCAGTAGGTAGAAGAGGAGACATGAAGTATCTTGTTTTTCAGACCTGTCTGTCGCAAATGTGGGTGTGCTAGCAGCGGTGGAATCAGGATCCCCTGCTGAAGTAGCTTCTGTTGTTGACTTCATATTGTGCAAGTTGAAGTCGCTGTTAAAAGAACTGCTTAGCAGAGTAAGTTGAACCAATTACTATGAATTTATATAACTTTATGAGGCCTATTCAAAGCACGCATAAAATAGGACAGTACCTGTCTGAAATAGGTGACATAATTTTGCTACAACAGACATTTTCCTGTAGATACTGACATTTTCGTTAAGTAGCAAACAGCGGGTTGTTGCTTTATTTTGCTTGTAACTGTAATACTTTTTTTTCTTTTTTAGATACTGGAAAATGAGATGAATAAAGCGTATGGTAGTTCATGGAAGATTATTGTTCTAGTCAAACCACCATGGACTTTATCAGATATGATAATTTGTTTTCTCAAGCACTGGATAGCAGTTTTTAGTATTGTTTTGCCTGCAGAGGTTAAAGGTATCCTCGAATGTCTAAAGGAATTTTTTGACGATGCAAAACAGAATAAAGGTAAACAAAATGTTCTGTATTGTTTTAAGTAACTAACTACATGAGTCAGCTCCATATTCATTCTTTCTTAAATTTAAAAATCCCAAGAGAAATACCTTCTGAAACTGTTGTAAGCAACTTAATAGCTTCATTATAAGGTGAGATAATGTGTCTGTAGTAAATTCCATATATAAGACCAAATCTACCACCTCAGGTTGACAGTAACTGCGACAGTGTTATGTTTCCCGCGGAGACATTTCAAATAAGATAACATCTCTATTCTATATAAAATCTAAATTTTATGACAATGGTGAGTCATTTGAATAAAAATTTTCTTGGATATTATCCATCGTCTAGTAAAATAAAGTATAAAACGACGTTTTGGAGATAGGGCTCTATCTCCATCTTCAGATACCTACTCAGTTTGACCCAATAGATAGAGCTAATCCCTATCTCCGGAGATAGGTATTAGGCTTAACGGGGTATTTTGTTTGCAGGTTATGGACATTCTTTACGTGATGTAAAGAAAATGTTACAAACAAGCTTGCATCTCTGCATGGCGGTACAGTTTGATGAGTATCGTGATTTGGTCTCAGCGTGTGTGTCAAATATAGAGGTAAGCGAGTTGAAAGTTCTAGCATATTTGTGCTCTTTCTTTGTAATTTTACAAGCAGCGTGTGTGTCAAATATAGAGGTAAGTGAGTTGAAAGTTCTAGTATATTTGTGCTCTTTGTTTGTAATTTTTACAAGGATGAACGGAGAAGTGAATGTTGTCCCTGCGATGTCTGTCAGCATCCCAGCACATCATTTGTCAAATCTGTTGTCCACTATTTAACACCATGATTTCTATATTTTCCATGTGTTTTAAAAAAAATAAGAAACTGAATTTGTACATACTAACTTCATTTATTTTCTTCAGAGACTGAGAAAGCACTGTGAAGAAACATTGACGGGATTTAAGAAAGAGGATGAGAAAGAAAAATTCAAGTGTGATCAATATAAGTCGCAGAATGAGAATGTGAAAACTGTGATGGACGTGTTGAAAAATTGTTTGGAATTGGTTCAGAGTTTTTGGTAAGTATTACGCAAATATTGGTTGCATATTTTATTCTTTTGCACTATAAATGTATTCTGTTTTTAATAATGATATATATCTTGTCTGAGGAACTTGCAGTAAATGATTACCATGAGGACTTTGTTTTGTTAATTTGTCGGAGTAACACTACATTACTTCAGTTTTGAAATATTACATAACTTAAAGCCTCATCTCCATCTTAGAAGATTTGCATATTTTCCTAGCATTGTTCCTGTTTTATATGGGTTAATGATACAGAGTGTTATTCTGCAGAACTTAACAGGTATAAAACACGGCTTTACCTTTCCTCGTCACATGCCTCTGATTGGCCACTTGTGTTCCTGTTCCTATATAAACCATCTTCTTGCCCAAGATTTGTGACATCAGCCCTGATGATGGAAGCTATATGTTCCTCTGAAACATCAGAAACACAGCCTACTTCCGCATGGTGCAAGCATGAACACCGAATCACTTGAAAGCTTGTTGTCATCATTATTTATTGTGTGATTATGTTTGTATTTCAGTGCACTAATGTGTGATGTGCTTGGGTGGGAACATCACGTGGTGTACAGTAGGCCTGAACCACTTCCTACTGTAGACATTGTACAAAACAGAGTACAATATATTTACCCCATGGTTGATGCATTAATCAAAAACATTGCAAGGTTTGTGGCAGTTTAATTTTTATGACTTCTTGCAAGTGGGTGCCATGTTTCTAAATGTGATTTGACACATGAAACATTTATATATTTTATATGTATATTTAGAATACTGGTCAGCATTAATTTAGAAGAATTATTTTTCAGCCCTTTATATTTAAAATGGAAGATGCCTCATTTTCTATTCAAATTGTTAATGTAATAATTATTGTGCACTGTTTTTAATAACCTGAACTACATTACAGTGGGTTTTCGTTACATTCATGTGACTTCAGTACTAAGACGTAGTTTGTCCTGTCTATATTGTCATTCTTTATAATTAAAATTATTATGGGAGTGTATGGGTTGGATTCACCTGGCTAAGTATAGAGACTGTCGGTAATGAAACGTCAGATCTCGTAAAAGATGGGGAATTCCTTTGACGAGCTGAATGACTCAGCTTCTCAATATTTAAATAGCCTTACATCGACTTCCTGTTTGAATTAACAGAGTGGAATGGTAACATAATATTTTGTAATGACAATGATTGGAGTAATGGTACATTCATTTTTCTTAGGAGATGTCGTAATGAAGAGTTGTGGCTTCTGTCACTGAATGATGTGTATGTGATCATTTCACGTGTTTCTGATGACTAGTTGACAGGGAATCAAAGTTTGTCAGATTGTTTTACCATTGATTTTGTATTTTACTTGTACATAGCATTTTGGAGCATCCAGTTAGTGCCCTAACTGTGGATCATGAAGCAGTTAAAAATTTGTACTTGACACTGGCAAATTTTGTTGAGTCACAAGAGGTAGCAGAAAAAATTACTCCTGAACTTATTCTGAATTTCAGCACCACAGAAAGCACGAGGTAAGGTATATTATCATAACCCCCAGATCTGACTTCCTGAAGTGTGGAAAGACCTGAGATTTATTTATTAAACTGCTGTATCTTTCACAGACTCCGGTTGTTTGTATTTAAAATTAGTTCCATGCGAGCAACTCTGCAGCCTACCAATACGACACTCATCTTTTGTTAAATTTACTGCTAAACGTTATTTGTGTTGACAGCATTTTAAGTTTTACTCTTCAAAATGTTTGTAAATGTCTGTAGTAAGATAGTAAGGTGTCGAGGGTAAAATTTCCAGAAAGCCTTAGGTTCCAGGCTCACTGGTTAAGGGCTCTGATGCTTTACCTATGCGGATATCTTTATGTGGTTCTTGATCTGATATTTGATGGAAATAGCACGGACTTCAATGCTGTTACGCAGAACCTGAACATGATTGAGAATTCTGATACATTTGCATTTCTGTGTATGATTTGAAAATGTTAACTGACTACATAAAAAGATTAATATTTTTCAAATTCTAATTAAAATAGTGTCATGTGATTTTTTAAACTAAGATTTGTTTTTCTGTCCCACGCTTGAAGTCAAGAAATGTTGTATTTTCTCCCACCCCATATTTTAAGAAATTAAACCTTCAAGCTTTCGTGAATCCACATTTAGTGCTAGAGAATTGTCAGTTACTGTTTTTTGTTTATCTTTTCAGGAGCACATTGGAGATGACAAAGACTATGTTTGAAGAAATAGAATTAGTTCTGAATAGAGGAATAAATTATTTTGTACAGTGTGGCATTGCCTAATTAATATTTTTTTATCTAAGAACTTATATTTTTCTAATTTATCCAGGTGAGTGAATATTTAAGGGTATGTTGAGTAATTGCTTAGTACTCATGTCACATGCAGAAATACCTTCCACTCTTAGACTGTCAAAGTTTTATATTTCTCCATATTTTTAAATTATAGGTCCTATATAAATTAAATTCTAATCCATTTCTGGCTGTTAAAGTGAAGTGAAAGTGAGCGATTTTATTCCAGGCAACAAATTTTTCTTATTCCTTATAAGTCGTTAACTAATTGTTCATATGTTAAATTAAGAAACGAGAATACATTTTTGTAACTTAGCCCTGAAGTCAGCCTTCCAATTACAGAATCAATAGTTAAATTACAAATTAAACATAGATTCACTCTAATAATGCCAGTTAAAAGCCTGTTGGAATTCATTTAGCTGTCGAGTTTAAGGGTGGCAGAATTCTGAGAGAATGCGCGTGGTGTCCCAAATAAGGCTGTACTCAGCCTTGATGGTTACATTCACATATCCTTACATCTTCACGAACTAGGCTGTTATGTGTTACAGTTAACTAATAATATTTACTTGCAATTAGGTAATGTTCAGACTAAATAATATATATTTCACTCTGATACTTGTTATCTATTTAAGAAAGGATACTTACTTGAAACAACAACAGTGCTGTCAAGATGGCTGGATCTGGGTTCGTTCGATGGCGAAACTCATCTCGGTCCACCGTCAGCATCAATTTTCATCTTGGTGCAAGAAAATACTGGTACTTGGCTGTTTCACTCAGCTGGTTAGAAATACTGTTGGTGTTGACATATATCCTTATTTGGGGCAGGTACCTTATTTGAACTCAGTTTGGAAACATGTTCTTTGTTTTTATTTTAAAATAATTATGATATTTGCAGATTTATAAATTTTAAGTTGATATGTTTATGTCAAGTGCCTTAAAATGTAAATTGTAAGTAGAAGAGCCTTTAATTTAATCTTAATTTTATGTTTGTGTTATAAACAAGTGATATTTCTTCACTTAATGTTTCGGTGAGAAATGTGTATTAGCGTGTATAACAGCCATAGCAGGCTTGTAAATGTGTATTAATAATCTGATATATAAGTGGAATTTTAATGTCACTAATATATATTTCCTTTCATACTATGTTATAACATATTATGCTTAATTCTTCTAAATAATTTATTTGTGCAATACCAGTTAGTGTATGTTGTTGATCTAAACTTTGACAAAGAATCTGCATCTTATGTAATTGCAAAAAATGTGCATTTAAGTTTTACCCTGTGGTAGAAGTATTCCTGTCTTGGAACCCACAAATTGACTGTAATAGAGCTAATTGCGTTTAAAGAAGAACGCATATTTTGGCTTCTCTGTAATGATCCTGAACTTATAATACAGGAAACATACTTTGTGTTTGTTTTTATTTGTCTATGGCAAATTCCTCCATGTGTGTATAGTCTTACGAACCTTCTTGGTTTCCGCCCACCTGTCTGGGTGAAGAGTCCCCACAAGATGTGGGATAGATGCGTTCCCAATTTCTAACGACAAGGATGTCGGCTGACAGAGGTGACCTACAACGGTGCACGGACTCTAGACCGAGATGGGGGCTTGGTGTTTTCCGTGTTCCTGAAGTCAGTGTGTTGGTAAGGGTGAAGACTTCAATCACTTCACGCTGAGATGAGTTATATTTGGACCAGCATTAGAAGAGTTTCGTCTTACTCAGAGACCAACATTTCTCCTGTGAAATTCAGTGAACAGGTATGTGCCGGTTTGATAAATTTACAGTATCAGTAGTGGTAGACACTTGTGAAGGCTTTTGTTCACCCAATTTCATTTGTGGATGCAGCAGAAATAAATAATGTGAAAATCAATCTGCAGAATTTTGAAGCTGAGGAGCAGGGGATGTAATTTTCCTGTGTAGTCAGCAAACTTGCCATCTGCAAATAGGCTGTAAGTAAACATATGCTTATCTTGGGAATAGCAGTAACGGACTCAAACATTATGTCCGAACTGGAAACCGCACTGTAGCGAATAGGAACTGTAATGTTTTACAGTTTACATTGAGCTGAGATAAGCTTATTCCCCTACCTGGCATGTCAAAGTGATTGGTGTAAAAAATTGCAGGATTTTTACCTTTTCTTAGAACACAAATGCGGCATATTTAATTTTCTTGTGATAACGGGTATCTAGAAGTCCGTGAACTGAAATAGAATAAGGAAGATTGAGCACCGTACACGGTCATACTGTTCATGTATCAAGTTTGTTTAAATTATAATAATCATCATTTCATGGAATGGATATTGAATATTGAATACAGTACTGAAAGATGTGAAGTAACAGAGTTCAGCAACAAGATTTATGCTGTGCCATAGAAGACGGCGGAAACGGTGTGGGGGAGGAGCGGAGCACATTGAAATATGAACATGTACGGAGATGTTTTTAAATGTGTTTAAATAATTGAAAGATTCTCTTTCGATTACCTTAACAGTTCTGCTAGGCTTAGTACTAGAAGTGTACGATGTGTTCGTAAGTGTACAAATACTTCTCAAATTTTTATATGATAAAGTGATTTATTTTTTTATGATTTATTAAAACATTTCTGTCAAGCATGGAAAAATATTTTATCTCATTTCTTGAAGTTCCTTGTGTTGCCAATGCGTTTTCAATTCTTGTAGACTTCTGGAAACGGCTGATCCGGATTTGGCTGGAGCCAGTTTTCGGGTGAGTAAGTAGTTCCGTTCATGTCGACCACGTGAAATGTGTATGCGTGTCGAGAACGTTCCGATTTGTTTGCTTCGCTACGGTGCACAACCTGGCCATGGATCAGCACACATGCACCTAAAAGATACAAGTGTAATCAGAAATTGAAATGCTTAAGTTGATTTTCTGCATCTTTTAATACAACTTGATTCTCTGATTTTGCTTTCAAATATTGTATATATTTTTAGATTATGTTACTGAATGTTGTCTCACCTTTACTAACACAAATTGGCTGGAAGTTGGATGTTGGATAGCTAGGGGCTGGTGCATTGTATATTAGCAATTCTTCAGAATTAGGATCTGGATTCCGAGTGTAGCGCCGGTGCACACCACTCAGATGTGATCCAGAAGCATACCATAGGCACCCATTCTCTAGAGTTACGTCATCAAGAGCTATCCAGAAACCCACCAACTTTACAGGTTCTGTGTACAAGAATGTAGCATCTTGGTGGGCTATAACTGAAAAAAAGATATTTACAAATTGTGCTGTTGTAAGAACTTCTTTTAAAGATGACTGTTTTCTGGGACTTTGCCATGTAGTCGTTGATTTAAGAGGTGCTTACAGCCTCCATCAGCAGATGATCAGCATTAAACACCTCTGAAACATTGGTCAAGTTCTACAAGACTACGTGGTGTAACATCCCGGAAGATCGTCATCTTCATTCTCGCCACCTTTAGAACCAGAAATCTCACTTAGAACTACTCTTAGATATCAAAGTTTTGAATAATATGAGGCTTAAATTCAAAATACAAGTATTGATGTGGCTACCAAGTTCATACCTTCGCTGCCAACACCAGGATTCTTGAAGATGTACATGCTCTGCACAACTACAGGATCCACAAGCCCTAGCTGGAAACAAGTTTCTTTCACCTTCTCACAAAATGTGTATTTCTTGAAGATGGGGTTTAACCAATGCAGTGCATGACCCATTTTGTTGAGTGCTATTTTGGGTTCCACCAGTAACTCCCCATTCTCATCCACCGCACCACCCTCAAAAAAGTAACTCACTTTGTCGCTACTGTCGAGGAAGTATTTGTCTTTCCTCTGGAACAAAGGAACATAACATTTCAGAGAAACATACTGTCCCCAACCTAAGGCTTTAAGTTTCTTTGAAATGTTGGTGTCTGATTTGTCTTTCCTCTGGAACAAAGGAACGTAACATTTCAGAGAAACATACTTTCCCCAACTTAAGGCTTTAAGTTTCTTCGAAATGTTGGTGTCTACCGAGTGTGCACGATGTCTCAACCCAAAGAATATCATCATCATCCTCACTGCTATGAGAACATCAAATCTCACACATTGTAAAGAATAATAGGGCACTTAACCTCTTAACTCCTACGTGGAAGTTAGAGCATCACAAACTGAGCTATTCTTACTTATCATGAAATTCAACTTCTAAAAAATTGATGCAACACATTTTACATTATTTACTGCCATGGAATTGTGTTGTTATAAAGTTTATAAATGCTTAAAATTGTTCTTGTGTGACCTCTAAGTTCTGTGTATCGTTGTGGATTTTTTGTGTAAATGACATTAATTCCCCCTGGCTACCTGTTGAGCCTCTGTAGTGCTGAACACAGATTTGTGAGATTCCGTAGGTATGTCCTGGATGAGTTCATCTGCTGCTTTCCGTAACTCTTCCACCTCCTTATCCGTCAGGAAATCATCCAGAACCAAACAACCATCCTGAAGGAACTGGAATGAAGAAAAACATTTATTGTCACTCTCTCTGAAGGATCCTCTTGGAGTCGAACATTATAAATATATTAATGGAGCCAGCTATGGACTGGATGACCAGGATTCGTTCGATTCCTGGCAGGACAGGATTTTTCCCTCTGTCTGAAAGTCCAGACCGACTAGATTCCACCCAGACTCATATCCAATGGGTACTGACTTTTTTTTTCCTCGGGTAAAGTGGCTGGGGCTTGAAGCTAAACACTCACCTCCATCTAGTGTTGAGGTTAAGAATGTGTGGAGCTATACCTCCACTCCCTTATATATCTGCATGGCACGTAATTAAGAACTAGAGACAACATTGCTTCGCTTGGGTACTAACGGTGAATGGCCTGGTAACCACGTTCAGTGTTGTTGTTTGTTACTTTGTGTGTGTAAGTGTGCTGATTCTAATTGGTCACTTGGCTGTTGAATCAGCATAAATAAGGCATTGTATTATTATTATTATTACACAGTTTAAAAATGTATGTGCTTCCCAAATGCTATACATATTGACTGATCTTGTGGCTCTACAGTTCTTGAAGGATGTTAGCCACCACATAATCTAGACATTTGTCTATACGTATTGGTATGTAGAAAAACATGAGGCATAAATAAATTACCAATATCCTGAAAGAAAATTCTGAGAGGAAAATGTTGGATCTTGAGTGAAGAAAAACATGCTAAGAAATTTATTATTTAAACTCTCAAGCACTACTATGGCAATTAAATAGTTGGGGTTACAATTGGCTGGCTGTATGCTTCCTGTGGGAAGGCTGAAAAGTGCATAGAGAAATTTGGCGTAGAATATCTTGAAAAATGCCCACTCCAAAGATTGAAACTTGGAAATATATTTTGGTGATTTCAGTGGGATCTAATGTGTTCTAATATCAGAGAGCATCAGCTCATGAAACCTGGTCATAAAACAGGTTGAACTAATCACTTT